CATCACCACATCATTCTGGAATATTCCTTCCAGGTACCCCCTCTACATCCTTAATTTTTTTTTTCTTTTCCATTCTCCACAAAGCCCTAAGTGGTAGACGAAGGCAGGGCGAGGAGCAGCATCAGAGCTGACAAAGAAAATAAAACAGGAGAGTCTTCGGCTAGGAAGATCCTGAACTTACCTCTTCCCCCAGGCGCAAGTCTACATTCACCTCTGCAGCGAGTCCCTCTGAAAACCAGTTGAGCAGTTGCTTCACATGGCAAATGAGAAGACAGTCACTTGGAGGCAGGCAGGAGAGGCTGTGACACACAGGCCTGCCCAAATCCCCACTCCTGATGCGCCAACACACAAGCGGGAAAAACTCAAAACCTGGAGGCTCTCCCTGAGGAATGAAGGGTTTGTAGCCTCACAACTGCAACCCCAACCTTTAAGACTTACACCCGACGGATGAGCGCCCAGAACACTTAGCTTTCTTTGAAAACCTACAGAAGTCGCACCCACTGCCCAGCGAACGCAAAGGGTGGGAGCGAGCTGCCTGAGAGTCTGGCTTCCAGTCAGCCTGAATCTAGGAGCCGACACCCCCTTTGGGACAATGACAGGTCTTTGCAAACTCTCAACTACCTTCAAGACGGGGAGAGGTGGCTGTTTCATCTGATGCATAGAAACCAATTCAGAGAGTCTGGCAAAATGAGGAAACAGAGGAATATGTTCCAACTAAAACAACAAAATAAAACCTTAATAAAACGGAGATAAGAAAACAAAGCAGAAGAGCCAAGTGAGTCTTCTTGCCCCCTTTTCCTCCACTTAACTCTGCTTTGACTCATGAACGTCATCAGTTTATCCCCCAGAAGCACCCTGGGGCATCCTGATGGACGCCTCTGCTCCAATAAACATCTTCAAGTGGTCGCAGGGCCCCCTTTACTCTTGGTGTCTTGTGGCTGACCATGTGGTAGGCAGATACTCAGTCGGGCAGAACCCAATTGCTTTTATGGTAGAAATGGGTGTGGAAGGGTGAGGGGATAAGGAGGAGGCATACTCCTCCGGAACCTGGCTTTGTGTGGAACCCAATCAGTTCCTGGGGTGAGAGAGAGAAACTTCCGTGTTTCCTCACAACTGGAACAAGAGTGTTTGAAAGAGGTGAAGGTAGACGGGTGTTCTCACTGGACACCTTAAGCCATAGGGGAGGAGCTTGCTCTTGAGTACCTCCCAACGCGTGCTCCGGTGTCTCTCGTGGCTTTTATTTCGTGTCTCTGGCCTTTTGTTTGGGTTGGCTTCCTTGCTCACATCATCTTTCCCCATCTCTGACTTCCTTTAGGCATCTTCCACTTTAAGACAACTAACTCCCTCCACTCCACATACTACTGACCCCCCACAGGCTTTTCCTAGGAGGCCCCCAGCTATCTGTACTTCTCCACATCTGTTCATGTGACTGTCTTCTCCAACAACTTGCAGGCTAATTCATCTTTATTTTGGTCCTAGCAGATTGTTTGGCCTCTAGCAGTCAAGTGTCTAAAGAAAACCTGCACGGAGCGAAGGTTTAGAGACGCAAGTAAGACGAATGCTAACCTCATTAGGAAACCTTAGTCTGGCCTTGTGACTGGCCATCTCCAGGCACGTCACTTCCCTATTCGTGGTTTCTGGCTGTGCAGGCACAATCTGCCTGAGGACTGGCACCAGGCTTAGAAATCACTCCAAGATTATTTAACGATTTAACAATAACTAGCGTATGTTATTATTTAAAAAAAATTTTTTTTTAATTTTTTTTTCAACGTTTATTTTTGGGACAGAGAGAGACAGAGCATGAACGGGGGAGGGGCAGAGAGAGAGGGAGACACAGAATCGGAAACAGGCTCCAGGCTCTGAGCCATCAGCCCAGAGCCCGACGCGGGGCTCGAACTCACGGACCGCGAGATCGTGACCTGGCTGAAGTCGAACGCTTAACCGACTGCTCCACCCAGGCGCCCCTAGCGTATGTTATTATTAACAACTATGCCCCAAGCTCTGTTCTAAGCATATCGCGTCTATTAAGCACTCAAGCCTCACAATTCTGTAAGGTCATCATCCCTCTTGTATAGGTGAGGCAACTTGAGACCTAGACAGGTGAAGTGACACACCCGGGACACACAGCAAGGGGAAGATCTGGCTCCAAAGTCCATGCTCTCCGCGGCTGCGCCTCTCGCCGACCGAGATAGAGGTGGCCGGACACGGATAACCTCGGGTTGGTTCTGAGGAGGAAAGGGGGGGGGGGGGCGTCCCAGGTCCCAGGAACGGATACATGCTCCTTTTCCCTCCTTTGTCGGTCATCCCAGGATTTAATCACGCTTCCCCTTTTTCACAACACACACCACAACCACCGCCTCTGCAGCAAACACCGTGGCCCTTTTCTGAATGGACAGGGCTCCAACCGTGAGTGGGCTGGGAGCGTTGCAGGACTCCAGCAATTGGGCAGTCCTGATGAAAGGCAGAGCAGCTAGGACCACAAGTGGGGAGGCACGTTAGTTCCCGCAGCCTGCAAAGGACAGAGCCCCAGGGCTGCCTTTCTTTCCGCAGCACATGTCTCAAGGGATGAATGCTTCCTTGAAGCTCGCCGGTGGGTGGGAAGAGTAGGTTCTTTAGAAGAAACTCTTTTATGAGGCTGGAAAATAGGGCGGTCTTCTCCTACGATTCGTGAGTTTCTTTGGGAGGCACAGAGTGACCTCCATTGAGATCTAAATTCAGGGCACCGTAAGGACAGAGTGAAAAGGAAGAACCGATCAAGAAAGCTTTGCAACTTCTATTCAGATGAAAGGTCATAATAGTAAGACAATTGGCACGAGAAACCCAGGGATGTAGTCATCTCCAAAGATACTAAGACTTCCCCAGGGTAGCTACATGAAGACCCAAAGTGTGCAGGACTTGAAAATCAACCGAGCACACCTATTTTTAAAGACCCGTGTGTTGCTGTCCAAAGCCAGGTCACGACTCAAGCGGTCCATGGGTTCGGGCCCCTTCATTACATCTGGGCTGATGGCACGAGCCTGGAGCACTGTCTCGGTCTGTGTCTCCCTCTGCCACCCTCCCTTCATGTCTGTCTCTCTCTGAAAAATAAATAAAAACCTTGAAAAAAAAGGAAAAAAAAAATTAAAAAAAAAAAAAGACCCGTGTGAGGATTCTGAACATCTATTCCTATTTTCACATGCGGATATTTCTATATCCAACGTCAGGAGAAAAAAGAAGATATCTATAGTTATCAGAACAAGGATTTAGACTGAAATATCAATATGTTCCATATTCAAGGGATATACGATTCTGGACTAGGCTTGGTTGGAGAGAGGGGAAAGACAGGTTTTTCTCTTTAGACGCCTTTAGGAAGGGAAGATGCATCTGATTCATTTAGGAGCTCAGCCTGGAGGGGAAGTGATTGACAAAAATTTTAATAAGTTATATCCATTCTTGGAAACCACTCTCTTCATCTGTTAGGATTGTGACCAAAATGGCCAGAAGCAGCAAGAGTCAGAAAGAGTACTCCCCCAAATGGCTTTTTTTTTTTAAAACTAAGATTTGACTTGCCTATGTGAAGATATAAAAGATGTATTCAACTGACCAAACAACGGAGTCCGGGTGACATTTTTTCCCTTCCTTTTTAAGTTGATTTATTTTGAGAGAGAGCAGCAGAAGAGGGGCAGAGAGAGAGGGAGACAGAATCCCAAGCAGGTTCTGCACTGTCACAGAGCCTGTCGTGGGCCTCGAAATCACAAGCCATGAGATCATAACCTGAGCCGAAATCGAGAGTCAGAGGCTTAACCGACGGAGCCACCCCAGGGCCCTCTAATTTTTTCCCTTCCTATCACAGCTCCCTCCTCACAAGTGTTGCAGTTGGGTGAGTTTAGTACTCCTTCCTTTTCACTTTTAGTAAGGGGAGATAGTGATGGTGTGTGAAACGTCTATTTTACTAACGTCTTACACACTATTAAAATTCCAAAGCACAATAGTGAGGTGAAAGATATTTTTTTGACTCTGGGCAAAACAGATACAAATATTTCTGAAGAACGAGCTGAAAATATTTCCTGGTTTCTTTTCTTACCGAGAGACCTGTATCACTCTGAAATCAGGATGTGCCTGTGCTCCTTTGGGGGAGAGCACCGCCAGGCCGCAAGCCTTGCCCAGAGAGCTTTTGTCCTTGAAGGCAGAGGTCCTTCCATGGAGTGGTAATTGTTCTTGCTCTCAGGGCCTGAGGACACAGGGCCAACCGTGAGAAGCACCGTGAACCTGAGCTTCACTATTTACATCAAAATGGACTGGCTAGGTCTCTGCCTCAAGGCCCTTTTGAAGGACGGTGAGGAACCTTGGCTTGAAAAACAACCCGCATCACGACCAAGAAAGTGAGTCTGCAAAGCATGTGGCCCAGACTGTGTCCACTGCAGAGTGGTTGCCCGGTTGGAGCAGGTCCCCCCCAGACAGGACATGTTGGTGACATGGTGACTGTAACAGATCACCACTAGGACCCGCCCCTGTGACTCCCCAGAGAGAAATTAGCGCGTGAAAACCAGCCAAGAAAGGGACTTTCCCACATCCGCCTCTGCCTTTGGGGCCACCGAGGCCACTCTCCATCGTCACCTGCTGTGGCTGTGAAAGTCTGCCCATCATGAATATCACTCTTTCCGTCCACATTGCTTCTTCTAGATCTCAAGGAAGGCATTTCAAAAACCAGATGATCCAGCAGAAAATGCAATATGGAATTTTACTCAAGAGTCACAACAACTTTGAAAATATTTCTGCTTATTCAAGTTAATTTCTCCTCCAGAAATCTGAAATTAGGTGTGATAAGTTAATGATTACACAAACAGAACTGCTTTCAATAATTTATTTGGACCCATGCCCAAAAACTGAACTTGCATGAAATATTAAATATTACTCTTACAGCAATTTAGACACATTCACACGAACATCAGGAAATGAAAAAAAAAAACATCTCCACCAAATGCCAGTGTTGTGTTTTGCTCGGAAAAATAATAACACAATTAGAGGTAAACAATGTTTTCTTCAGCGTCATCTCCAGTCTCCTGGTCTTGTCCAGTCAATGTCTGAAGATTTAGCTTTGCTTCAGCCGTAAATGTCTGCCGCTGAGAGCCATGTGGATGTGAGTCCTGGGAGGCTGGAAACTCAGTCTGGGAGATGTCCAAATCTGCAACAGACAGACGGCACAGGTCAGGAGGATCCGCTCGAGGCCTCCAAGGCAGGTGACACTGTAACTCAGAGCTCTCTAAGCCTGGGACATGCAGTGCCCATATATTCAGCCACAGAGAGAACCCGAGAGTCCAAGGAGAAAGGGACAAAATGCAATCACATCAAATGACTTAATCAATGTATCGTCAAGATGTGGCTGGGTGTGCGTTCAAATGTCTCCTATGGCTAAAAATAACCCTGACCAAATAAACCTAAGGGAGGGTCAAGTGAATAAAGACTTGTCACCATTTGTGGGCAGATAAAACACTGCTACTGTGGAACGTTTATTTATTTTTTTGGGGACAGAGAGAGACAGAGCATGAATGGGGGAGGGGCAGAGAGAGAGGGAGACACAGAATCGGAAACAGGCTCCAGGCTCTGAGCCATCAGCCCAGAGCCCGACGCGGGGCTCGAACTCACGGACCGCGAGATCGTGACCTGAGCTGAAGTCGGACGCTTAACCGACTGCGCCACCCAGGCGCCCCTGCCCACTTATGTTTTAAAAACAGGTTCAAGGTCTTAGAAATACGGTATATACCCTAGCTATGGGCGATGAACTATATTTGCATCTGCACAGCCCCTCCCCTCAGAATATCTCAAAGTCAAGAACTGACCTCAAGACTCAAATAATATAGCTGGGATTTTATTAAGGTGGGCAACGGGTGGCGGAAAAAGGAGTTGAAGGATGGAGACCGGCCAGCCTCACCATTATGCAAATCTAATTAACACTCTACAAACCACTTAGCTAGAGAAAACTGTTCCCGTATCAAGTACGGCTGGGTTCTTTTTTCTGGTTACCTAGCAACAGCAGGGCATCGTCTATTTCCCCTTTCTCTGCTAAAAACCCTCTAGTACACGGTGTAAGGGAAGGCAAAGAGGGGTTCCTACTTGAAGAAAAGAAAGGCTGTCGCTGCAAACCATTTTCTCTTCCTTTGTTCTACCGACCACCCTTCCTGAGGCTCACTTATACGGCAAAGTCACAAATGACCGGCTTCGGTCAGCGCAAAAGGCGGAGTATGCGTGGAAACCCAGGCGAGAAAGATGGATAGCCTGAAGCCCACCCGCTCCTTCTTCAGTCATCAACGAGAGGTCATTATAAACATTGCCACTTTTGACTCCAAGACTCTATTATTTAGATGGGTACCCATAACTGGTAGGATTCTAATGACAAAAATGCTTGTGGCTCCTGCCCTCCTGCCAACGACCTTTAGCTGGTAGGGAAGACAGGAAGCAAGACCCAGCGGGAAGAGTAAAACGTCCTCACGCTGCTCTGTCTTCAGGGACGTGGGACACTTGGCTACGTGTCCGTTCATCACTTCTTCCGGTAAGAGGCAGGCCCACTGGAAGAGGGGCAGCCAGAGCCCCAGAAAATAAACACAAGTCACCTGGAGGAGCTGACGTGTGCCTGTGAAGCTGAGGGGGACCCCGGGGAGAGGGGAGGGGAAGAAGAGGTCAGGCTGTACTCCATAGCTCTGCTCCAAGCTTAGGCCTGCCCGGCCTCTAGATGCCCGTGGGGCCCAAAGAAGAAAATTCTTTTACATTTGCGTGACTTGATTTTACTAACCCTGATTCCAAATCCTGTACCTCGAATACTCGAACTCACTAACTACTGAGCACGCGACTAGTGAAGATGCTTCTAAGTACCCCCGTGCAAAGCGTGACTTCTGGGCACAAGAAGTTTTCCAGGTCTGATACAGCCATCACTCTTTTAAGCCTCAAAATGTTGTAACCCACAGTTTACAGTTTGGGAAACGAAGGCTCAGGCTACTTAAATTCCTTGCCCCACATCACGCAATTAAGAACTAATCTAGATTTGAACTCAGGGGACCACTGCCACTTGCACATCCGATCAAGAGTCTCAGGATTCCCATTTCTTATGGTGATGGAAATGGCTTGACCATCTTTGTTACATTAAGAGACTTTGAATGTTTAATACTTATCCTCCCTAAGTACCACATTTTGAAGAATCACTTAGCAAAAAAGAAATTAAGAACGAGAGAGACATTCCAAGCTCCAAAAAACGGATACAATGATTATTATAAAATTGGGAACCTCCTTCATTTAATCAGGTAAACACCACAAACCGTCCTGCCCCCGCAATGATTTCTCTATTAGGGCAACACAGATCAACCTAGAATGCTCTCTGCTCTTTTATCACATTGGGAGACAAAGTATGCTTGCCTGTGGTCACAACACGCGTTCACGCTTTTGACTCCTTTCCCCAGGCATTGAATGAATAAAGCCATTTAACCTCTAAAAAAAAAAAATATTCTCAGTTACGCTACTCATGTTTAGCATTACACAACCTAACACATATACACCTCAAAACTTGCATCTATCAGATGCTCGTAGATTAAAGAACAGTTCATGTAAGCCACTGTATTCCTGCCCCCTTGCCAACAGAAGGTCCAGCCAGGGTACAAGAAATACCACATGGAGAAGGAACAACCATGCATTGAATGAGGTGGTTGGGAGGTGATTGCGGACAAACGTGACAATGCCCGGCACAATGCAAGCCCTTAATCCCAGTAAGTTTCCTTCCCCTGGGGGTGTGAGACGTGTAGCAAAGAATCCAAAATACTGGTGGTGAGTCTAGGGATCTGGGAAGTCCTCTTAATGGTTTCAGGAGAAGGCTTAAGAACAGCCAAAGAACCAAACGTATATCAGAATTCTTTTACACTGTAGGCTCTAGCTCAGGAACAGAGATCCAAGAATAAAGAGGGAGGGGGGGAGGTTAGTTTTTAATTGGTGTGTGTGTGTGTGTGTATGTGTATGTATGTGTGTGCGTAAGGGAGTATGGATATTTAATGACAACTTTTTCAGATAAAAATAAAAATACAGAGGAACATCTCTAGGTGAAAAATAGCTTGCTGGACCCTAAAGTGACAGGCCCATGTTGGCATCCTAGATGTATTCATGGAGGTTGTTGTGGATGTATGTCACCTGAAGGTGAACTCAATTTCCTTTTCATTTTCTCCTTGATTTCCGCCTGAACTATTTAGGCAAGGTCAGGCAACCCATCTTTGAAACTGGAAACCGTTCCATGATTTCTGATTTTATGATTCCATTTCAACCCTGAAAGAGCACCAGCACAGCAACTGTATCCTTCTCAAGGTCAGCCACCTTTTTCCACACTTTTTACCCTAGAGAATATGATCATTACGGAATCTTAAACTGAAAAAACATTTGTTACAATAAAACCTCACTGGTTCAGAAAGCAGAATTCTTGAGGAATAAAAATCACCCAATTTTGTGATCAAAATCCCTATAAACTGCTGAACATAAAAATAGGATACCTGGTTTTTTAATAAGCAAAGAAATATTAATTTAGTGGAATCCTAATTTGGTCGACTAAAAAGCAAATGCTATTATAATGAAACAAAACTTCAGACTACAAGGAACCTTTCCATCTAGTGTCTCAGTACAACTTTCCCTGTCCATTGACATAAAAGATGCAATTTGATCTTTACCATACTTGTGGAAACTAAACAGAATGACCATGACTAACCTTAAGATAAAGACGAAGAAGTGGAAACACATCGAATCCCCATAGCCTGGCTAAACATAGTAGAGAAATAAAATCTTCGTGCAGGGTTTTCTTCTACCTAACTGAAAATTTTCACACCAAACAACTTCACCCTTAACAAGAAATTTCCATAGGTCCAATGTGGGGTCTAAGTCCACCTGCTAATGAAGTTTTAAAAAATTCCAAGTACCCACATTTTGGAGTGGGGGGCAAAAAGCACCCATGCTACCAAGCGATATGCCCCACACCACACACTGATACGTATCCACAGACAGTTGCCTAAATCTCCCTGTTTTCAGCCCTTAGTTGCAACCTGTTGGCGGACGTTTACACTGACCATTTTCACACTTCTCACCTGCTGTTGGAATTTTAGACAATCAGGAAAGAGAATCTGGGGTGTAGGATGACTTACAACTATAGAAATCAGCTCCTGAAAAGCCGATACTAGTAGGATGCAAAATGAGCCTTCCTTCCGTCGGCTCACCATCATTCTTCTTCTGAGCCAACTGGATAAGTGGTTCTTTTCTATAAACTCAAAGTGTACCATGCGACCATGTGCCATATTAAAAAGGAACGAAGCGCCTCCTAACCCAAGAGTTAAATAAACCACAAGGTAAATCGTAACCTTGGGCAAGTCATTTCTGTTTGGGCTTCAGTTCATGAAGGACATGACTGAAATCACCTTTCTGGCCTCTTGAACTTCTACTGTATGAGAATTTATACATTTGGACTTTGGCTTAGCGCTTCACCAAATAATATTCTGAGGGAACAACAAATGGATGTGTTTTTAAACTGCTTTATGCTCAAGAAATACAAATGTATTATCTTAAGTTGCATCTAAGATAATGTTTTTAAGGTAATTTCCAGACCTATGCCCCACCCTTCTACCTTCATTCTTCTCAACACCACCTATCTGACTGAGCCAACATAGAGTCTTCAACGGACAGTATTTGGAAAACTACCTATTGAGAAGATAATGTTTACAGTCAAAACCTGCACGCAATCTTCCCTTCAAAGAACAGCAGACTTAAGAGTAACTTGTCAGGAAGAAAAAGTCTGTGACACGTCAAAAGGAGTTGTCTATCATGTTTAAATAATTAGTGTAATATTTGCCTTTTCTGGATTTTCTGAATAGAAAAGCATCTTAAATTATGATAATGTTTAAGCTTCATTTAAATTTAAAAGCACCAGTATAACTTTCATCATAAATATCAACTGGGGACATCTAGAATTTAACTCAACGTATGGCCAATGGCCAGGCACCCAGCACCCAGTGCTACAAAAAGCACACTGAGTCGACTGTCGGGATCATTGATGATGCCTTGCTCAGGCCTCTGTGTCTCATCCCATTCCATTCTCCCAAACAAAACTCACAACACAGAGCTTCGTGTCTTCTGGGCCTTGGCTCTGTTCTTGTTTATTTTAATGAAGTG